TCACGCCAGGTGAGGCATTCAGAGCGAGAGCTACTGCCACTCCTGCGACTCTAGGGTTCGAGACCCGACCGTATCGGATTTTCGACACTGGCTATAGTTTCGCTTGGTCAAGTACAATCGCTGTCTGAGAGAATTCTTGCGGCAGGCTGCCCCGAGTGGATGTTTTCCAAGGTGTCTTCTATCAATAAAAGTAGTATGCCAGTACCTTAAGAAACAGGACACGTCCCGCGTGCGATCTTTCCTCCCTGAACCCTTTCTTTCCCCTGCCTTTAGTCACCAACACCCTTGTTCCCACATGCACTTCACTACCACATGCCGTGACACCAGGCGGGCGCTCAGAGCTTGTCCCGGCTGGGGCGGTGTTCCGCTGGGGAAACATACCGGGAAAGGGAAACTCCGCAGGCTGACTAATATGTCGGTGCCAGATCTCATGTTCCAGTGGGGGAGGAATACCGTCACCTACAGCGATATAAGAAGCACAACACGTACGGGACTAATGAGCATAGCAGCTACGCGCCCAGAAAGACCATGAAGTGTCCCAGCAATGGCATGATACATAGTATTTGTTGTAAATACGGTTTTATTTTTCGAAATACCGATATTATATTGATATAGAATAATTATTTATTTAAATTATGATGTATCACAGGTTTTTCCAGTTTTAAATTAATTTTATTCTATTTGATTCAATCATATTCATTCCAAGTTGACAAAGGTATTATATATAAACCTCATAACACTGAGTTTCATTACTTCTTGAGCCTCCTTTGATCCATGCCGGTTTGAAATATGGACTTTTTGATTGATTGATTAGTGATTCCGGGCGCGTCAACTGAGGTTATACGTCCCGTAAGTGTAATGCATGTTTTTATCGCTGGAAGTGGCGGTGATTTCCTCCATTAGTTGCCGAGATCCGGCGCCGAACTACCCATCGAACTTCCCACCGACCTGTGGGGTTTTTCCCAAACCAGGTATCTCCTACCAGCGAAGCACCGCCCCAGCCGGAGCAAGCTCTTAGCTCCCGACATGGGTGTTAGTGTAGTGCATGTAACTGTAAATGTGGGTAAGGAAGGGGCAAGAAAGTTCGCGCACGGTCCCTTTGTTAGGGTACTTCTCTGGCATTCGCCTGGTGTTGATCGGAGAAACCACGGAAACGATTGAGACTACAGAGCAACCTGCCGCTAGAATTCTCCTCCTGAAAGCTGCTGCATTCGACTTTACTATGTAGCTATTGTCGAAAAACCTGCCACTGATGGGACTCCAATCCTAGGATCTCCCGGTCAGATGCACGGCAGTGACAACAATTGATGCCCTGAGTTACATAAGCCGGTTTTTAAATCTGGAAAATTAGACACTAAACTCTTGTCCGTTTTTTGTATTTTCCCTGTAGAGCAGGTCCCCGTGAAATTGTAGACAGCAGAAGTTTTATAATTAATTTATTCCATACCAAATCTTAGTCTAAGTGTTTTGTCTGGTTTCTTTATGCATTTATTTTGTTCGTGAACGCAGGGTGGTGTGGTCATTTTAGTTTCTCACTTTTTGTCGCATTCTTGAATAAAACAGGTTTATTGAAAAAACAAATGTTGTTATTGTGTTTGTAGTCTAATGCTCAGGCTGAAGAAACGTGTCCACTGGCTCACGCTGTTGGCTGGAGTCTCGGGAGCTTTTCTGAACGGTGATCATCGCTCGTCTACACTGTCGGTCTTCCACAGGTCCACCGATATAGTCCGGTCAAATGTGCCAGAATAAGGGAAATTTTTGGTGTAGTTTTGGAATTAGGTTCGTATATTTTTTGAGGGGAGGGGGTGCTAAACACGAATATCGGGTTTGCCGACAATAATTTTGCATAGAAACGCGTTTTAGGTCAAAAATATAAAGCCACTTCTTTAGTTTCAAAAAACTTCCAAAAGCCATCCATCTTTCGTACATGCCTCCTTATGAAACAAAGGAAGATAAAGGTCAGATGCAGCAGAAAAACATTCGTGTACGCAATTGCAAAATATATTGCAAATATATTGCATATTGCACCATAACGATACATCTCTTTCAAATGCAACTGAGTTTATCGATGATACTATACGGGATGATGTAAATAGTATAGATGTTTTTTGCATCGCAGAATATTTTTTGTCTCGTAATAAACTTGGAATTTTCCAAATTCCCAACTTTTATCTTGCAGTCTATTCTTGTACAGAAAGGGAATCAAATAAGGGTTCTGCTTACGGAGTTTCCTCTATAGACACTATCTTCTTGACGGAATTGTCTTAACTGATATTTCATTTTTAGATATTTTGAATGATTCATGTTGGTTTCGGTACTTTTTTGTTTAGAATTTAAATAAAAACAATTATTTTATTATGTTTTGGTGTTATTTAAAATTAATCTCGCTTATGTCGGGTGATATCCTTTAGAAATCTCCAAAACACGTAACCCTGATTTTATTTAATTTTGAATTCATTTATTTTATTATAAGGAGCTCACACTTTGGTTCGAACACATTTCCATGGCAGAGCATCATTACTAGACATCAGATGTTAAGGCACTAAATAATTACGTTTTAGGCGCCTAAAAAGGCATTAAAAACTCAAAATTGGAGGAAAAAAAACAAAAATATATTTCACTGCAGTTGTATTTGAAATAAGCCAATACCACAAAGCATTATATCACGAGAGAATAGGCTATTAATAAATCATTAGTAAGGGACTGAGGCATCTTCATAGGATTGAGCTCGGTTACTACACTCCGGCAACTGCGGGCAGAATGAAGACGCACCTCGCGCCTGGCAGAGATGCGCTTACACTGCGCACTACCCAGAAGAACATCTGGCACGGAAATATATCAATGTCGGAAGTTGGGATCATCGCTTTGCCCTCTGATTCACGAGAGTTTTGATTACGTCGCGAATCGGAGCTCAGCGCTCACGTAAGCGCCCACCGCTCAACCTAGTGCCCAGAGACCACCATTTTTATTTTATTTTATTTTATTTGCACAAAGAAATGCGGAAAACGAAATCTGAAGCCAAAATACAAGTTTTTCGGTTCCAAAAATGCAGTGACCTGCAAACGCAAATGAGAGCTTCAGTCGAGACAAACAACGGAGATTCGTTACCAGAAAATATATATGATTTGTAGGACTTAAAATGATTTGAACTTGTGTTTGTAAATATATGACTTCACGGAGTGCTGCACTGAGGAGAGGTATTGATGTAGGTCGGTGAGGCCTGGCACGATGTCGGCATTCCAAAACATCCCAAAGGTGTTCGATAGGATTCAAGCCAGGACTCCGACCCAGGCCGTGTAGTATTAACAGGTGGTCAATCGCGTTGAAAGATGCAATCGCCATCCCCGAATTGCTCTTCAACAGTGGAAGGAAGCAAGAAGGTGTTTAAAACATCAACGTAGGCCTGTGCCGTGATAGTGCCACACAAAACGAATGAAAACACGACCACACCATAACACAATTTTGAAAATGTTCGAAATTTTTGATCACATATTGTATTTCTAAAAAAAAAATTGTCACAAAATACAAAAAAAAGGCCAAATAAAAATTCGTCAGAATATTTAGTTTTCCATAATTCATATACTTATATTAATTGCCTTTAAATATTTTCATTAGAAGAAAATAGGCATTTTCCTAAACATCCGATGTCAAATTATGACCTAAGAGGGAATTGCGGGATCCTGTTTACAAGGAAGGGTTTACGAAGCTACCTTGATTTCATCACATGGATGTTAAGAGAGAATCAAGAAACAGGCCTGAGCGACTTCCTTCCCTTTCTCAACAGGTAGTTTCTGGGGGTAAACTAACGGGTTCGCACAACCTTCTGCGGAACGGTGGAGTACGCATACTTGACTGACTGACATTTTGTTTTCGCACGTATCAACTGCTATGGTCATTAGTTCCATAGGTGTAGTGCATGTTGTATCCTCGATAGTGGCGGTATTCTTCCCCTGCTGGAAAGTGAGATCAATTGCCAACCTACCCGTTGGGTTGCGAGAATTCCCCTCCAGATATTTCCGCCAGCGAAGCACAGCCTCAGACGGAACAAGCTTATAGTTCTCGATTGGTCTCTCGGTATGTATGGTAGTGTAATGTACGTAAATGTAAGTATGCGGAGGGGAGAAGGATGAGAAAGGAAAGGTCGCGTGTGGCCGGTGGCCCTACTGTTAGGATATAATTCTAAGGCAATCGGTATTGATAGGAGACACCAGAAAACTATGATTCAGGGCAGCCAGCTCCTAAAGATTTTCCTTCCGATAACGGCTGAATTCGACCTTCCTATCTAGTTAGTGTTGTAAATCCGCCACCATTGGGACTCGAATCTAGAACCTCCCGGTCAGAGAAGCTTCAGTGCCAACAACTATTTCCCAGGGTTATCTCAGCCGGTAGAGACATAGGAGGTCAGGGCTACAAAATGTACGTTTAAAATGAAATCTGTAGTTTTTGTAATATTTTTATTGTTATAGTGAATGTTCATTTAAAATGGCTTTATAAATAAGACAAAATATTGAAGTGATGTTAGGTGAAAATTATGAGAAAGGTTAGAAAATATTTTTTAAGATCATTAAGGGACAAAATCAAATTGTGCAATCAGCGTCACACATATTTTGATATGGTGAAAGAAAGCATGAACGTGGCGGAAAGTAATGAATATTTTCCTACGCAAAGGCAATGTGGGGCACAGTGAAGAATACGCGACATTTTTCGCGAATTTATATTTATAATATTTAAATATCACAAATCACAATAGCTTCATACTTCTGATTGTTTACAGGGGGCTGAAAATGTGAAGATCTTTGAGGTGAGGCATGTCGAACATTTTTGTGTATATATGTGTGACTGGGACGAGTTTTTCCCGCAACAAATAGTTTCTTTTAACGTTAAGAATCTTATCAGAGACCGAGTGAAGATGATTTGTTTCTTCTTCCTTTATGGGGTACAAATCCTCATAAGTGTTTTGTCATTGTGTCAAAAGTCGAAAGAGAAATTTGACATTCTGAATGAAATCAGATAAAATTGAAAAAAGCTGGATTGAAAAAAAGCGTTTGACCGCATGGGACATTGATGAGCCCTGCCCGGCCCGGCCCGCCCTGGCCAACCCCGCTCCACCCGCCTTGCCCCGCTTCGCCTTTCCCCGCCTTCGCCTGCACCCCGCTTTGCCCCGCCCCGCTTCGCCTCGTCCACCCAGCTCCGCCCCCTCCCGCCCCGCTTCCACTCGCCTCGTCCCGCTTCCCCCGCCCGCTTTACCCGCCCGCTTCGCCCCGTCCCTCCCAACTCCGCCCCACCCCGGCTCCACTCCCACCCCACCCCCCGCTCTGCTACGCTCTGTGCCCCGGCCGCCGTTCTCTGGCCGCACCAAGCGCACTACGCCGCCGCGGGGAGAAAGCGTCAGTGGTGAAGAGGCCGGTGTGGCTTACTCAGCTGCGAGGGCCAAGCGTCTAGCGACAAGCGGCGGCGCGCCTTGTGTCGTGGTACAGTGCACTGTCCGCCGCCGTCCCAGAATGGACGTGCTGATCGCTATCCTCGCGTTGCTGGGCTGTGTGCTGCTGGGCTGGCTCTTGGCCGACAGCTTATGGAGCTTGATTTTGGGCTGCAAAGCCCACGTGTGGCCTCACATAAAAGGGCCCGATGCAGATCTCGTGTCCAGATTCGGTAGTTGGGCAGGTACGTTGATATTAGCATTTTTGGAACACTGTTTTCTTTGCTTAGCTCTCTTTTATCAGTGCAATGAATGAAAGGACGAAAGAAAAGAAGTTTCCTCCACATCTTCTATATCGCTTCCTCGATTTTCGAGGAAGTATTTAAGTAACTGTATTTATGTTCAGTGATGTACCGCCAGGCCAAGGATTCCTAGTTATTGGACTCTCACAATTGTTATCATTCATGAATGCGTAGAGGTTGAAGTTCACTGAATGCGATAGCAGCGAATGAGGCTTCTAGCAGGGGACTATGTGTGACCGACCGATGAAGATTGTTTCTCACAAAACGTTCTTTACTAGGAGGAAAATTCCAGTTTGATGTTTTGGGGAAGAAAATATTGTTTTGGGCCCCAATACTAAATTATTGCTGGAAAGAAGTTTTTGTCAGTTTTGTCTTTCGCCAGTCAAACAATTAAAAAAAAAGTTCTTCTATTGAAGTAGTAATTTCTACTACTTCAATAGCCAAAATAGGTTTGTTTCCCCTATAATAATCAATTCATATGTTGTTAGCATTAGCCTCGTGCAAGTTGTATTTATTCTGCTCGAATGCGTCTTCATTGTATTGTTTGCAAACGGCTGTGTTTTAACATTCACAAATTATGTAACGGTAGTTTTTAGGTAATGGGTAATAACCGGGAAAAGGCTGAAAGAGCATTCCTAACATCCTCTAACCCTAAGCAGGTTAAACCGGCAGTAATAAAAGTACACGAGTGTAAAAAGTTTTTTATTGCGATGTTCCATGAACATTGAAATATATTGGAACAGAATATGAAGAAAGTAAATTATTGGCGACAATTTTCAGTTTTAATAAATAGAAAAACTGTAAGAATTATTTGGTGTAAGAATTATTTGGCGCTATATTTGAATACACAAATTTTCTCAGTAATCACAACTGAGTACCATACAAACGTGTAAATTACTGTTTTATTCGGAACATTTTTCGAATGAAATCACTGTTAAAATACGAACATACATATTTTTCTCTTTAATTACATGAATGAATTGCGTACTTCACATACTAGATGTGGTCGTTTTGATGTCAGTTAAGTCATGTCTCTTAGCTGATACACCCATTTCCGAGCACGCGTGCATTCCGCCAGGAAACAAAACATTATATATCAGAAAAGCTTGCGCTCCCTTAGGATTGTTCTGTAAGTTCGTTCGGCTACTGAATAAAACACCATGAGACCGCTAATACTAGCCAACCCGACGCAGTGAGTCGAAGCCGAAAGTAAGAGGGGAATGAAGTAATCACGTTGCGATGCTGCCCTACTCAGGGTATTCACAGTGCAGCGCGATGAAAGATATTTCAAACGCACCGCGTCTTTTGGAGCCGCATTTTGAGAGGACCGCCACTTTCTCCGAGATCTTACTACGTGCCAGGTGGATCTTCAGAAGTAGGGCAGTCTGTCCAAATTTTTCGCGATTCCTTCAACCTATTTTAAGTCTCAGAAGGACGGAAGATGCAGATGTCTGGCTGAAATATTTGCTTTCCGAATACCAAACGTGTGCTGAAATTTTTTTCTGCGACAGGCTTCCGAGATAAGGGACTAAAATATCACTATGTTTCACCAAGGAAAGCATGTGTAGAGTAATATTTTCTTGCGCGTAATGCGATTTTTCTCTCGAATTGTCTTCCGTCTGTTCAGTGGTCATTCTGTTAATCATATTATTCCCCCCGGAACGATCGATACGCATGTGTTAAAATATGAATGTGACAGTGGCGTAAGTTCAACAGAGGAGGCCCTTTGACCGGCAGTGAACTGACTTTTAGTAATCAAACCATTTATTACTATACATTTTTACAAAATAAATGATCATTTTTGCTACTTAATGGGACAATTTAAAATGTAAATTTTTACATTTTCTTTGCAATTAATCAAGGACAGTAGAAATATTATTTTTCAACTGCATTTTCCTGCTTAATTGATAAGAGTTAAATTACACATACGATCTTGTGCCATTGCATTACGTAAATAATTTTAATCAGCTTTAATTTTGAAAGCGTCATTTTGGCGCGACCGTTACAGGAAGTGTCAAAAATAATGTGAACGTTATACACACATGGAAAAAACTAGTTAATAATAAACAATATTCAATTATTAAAAAGTTTGGAAGACCTTTAACTCGTCCTAGTTTTGAAATTCTGTAAACCAATGTGTAAAGACAACCGAGACAAGTTTTCCGTATCATCTGCAGGTATAGTGATTGAAGTTCTTGTACTTTTTCATAAGTTACATCGTCCGAAAGAGCTATCGAACTTAGGGCTGAATCACTTTGAAAATCACCTCTGTATTTTTTCAATCCAACAAATTGTCGCTCCAATTGTTTAACAGCAATATCTAGGCATCCATATTTGACATTAATTTTGTATCTTTCTTCACCGTCAGTGAGTCGTTGATCGTCGTAAAATTCGTTAAAATGTCATTTCATGTTCCTGACTCGTTTGTCGCTAAATTTCATTTCTGCTTGCCAAGCGGGATAATTCTATTGCATTATTTTTCAAAACATCGTAGCGATTCCGAAAAGTTTTCAATTATTCGTAAGTTCCATCGAGTAAATTCTGTCCCTTTGCTAATCTAAATCAGAGATCCGAAGTTATTGTGAAACAGTCGTTTTTGTTACTACAGTAAAACCTGTCGAGGGCGGAAACCTGCCTTTCCTGAGAAATCTCAGAACGGACTATTTTTCGACGCAAAATACACAGGATAAGCCGGAAACTTGCGTAACGCTGAAACAGAAAGGAATTTTTAGTATGACGGTTTTAAAAATTCTAGACAAGACTGAAAATAATTATTGTTTTAAAATTAAACATTGACTTGCAAGTGTTGCGACATCGTACCAAGTGACAATCATAGCTGTTGCTCATCCCTTCACTTTCACAGCTACCCTTGTCCGCACGTTGTTTCCCACACTACAAGCGAAGAGCGATCCTTCAGCAATTCTTGTAATGCTTTATTTGGGTTCAGTTCTAAACATTTTATTTTGTTCAGTTTGACGACTTGCAAGTATTGTGTTAATCTAGGATTTGTGAAGTTTGACGGCAAATTGAAAACGTTAACTCTTGGTAATAAAATTAAACCTATTGATGAAAAGGAGCAAAGCATTACTTCAGTCAAGGTTTCATAACCAAACCTAAGTTGGGAAAACTCAAGTGTACGACACCTTAAAAACAAACACAAAGTAAAAAATGAGTGGTTAAAAGAATTTTCTGTTGGCAGTTGCCCCAATATTCACGAGGACCTAGCCGAATACCCGAAAAATAAACCATCGAATTAATTGATCTGTTCCTACAAATATTGAAGAAAATGACTTCTTTTACTTTTTATGGAGTTCTTTGCTTCATTAGACTTCTTGTTAAGTTTTTGTATATCATTTTCTTTGTCTCTTCTGAGACGTCTTCATTTCTTTGAAATGTAGTTTTTGGTGAGAGAAACCACTCATACAACCTATTTTAGCTTTGAGTTATTGCGTTTTCTGAACTGACAGTTTTTATTGCAAACCTGAATAAGTCGGAAACCTGTACAAGACTGAAGAAAATGTTGGACCCAAACTTGGGCTTCTGGCAAAATCTAGCTTAGATTTTAATGTATGCTGGTGTGTATTACTACATGGAAAACAAATTCAAAATTTTCATTTTCTTTTTTCATATTACGGGCTTTATTTACTTCAGACGTTTTGTATAAAATGTAAATTTTGTTAGAGCTTGAAAAATATTAAAATATCAAAATCTTATAGCTGTTAAGAAATCGTTCCGTGATGACCATCTTGTAGGCTAAAGTCGTTTAATGTAAGATAATTTCGCTTTTTATCTAAATCCATCACTGTTGATTATACTACGTATATGTTTCATCGATTAAAATGACCAAAGAACACGTATATTTGTTACACGAACAGTAAAATGTCTGAACTTCTAATATCCATAGATGGCATCAGTAAGTACAAATTTTAAAATATGAGCATTGTCAAATTTATCTATTTTGTCTGAACACAATTTTAAATTACACTCGTAACTGCTGCGCCATCATAACCTTCACCCCTGCCTTTTTTTTATGAATTCGACAATATCAAAATGCAACCCTTGTGCTTATTGATTTTCAACCTTCTTAAATCCAATGAAAGATTCATTAATTTTTATTTTAATCGGTTTGGCGGATTCATTTTCTCGATGATTACATAGCGTAAAATTTAACTTAGTTGGCCAACATTTGACACGTCTTGCGTTGTGTCCATTAAAATAGAAAAAACGGTGTTTTATTTCTTCTACGATTTTATCAGACACAGTTTTAGATAAAATACGTATTGTTTCGTTTTGAATTTGGGGACTTCTTTAGCACGGGATCCGGGACCCTCAGGGCGCCTGAGCATGGTCCTGTTGGTGTCTATGGAACGTATGCAGCTAGTAAATGAGCCCTCGACACAATGTACAAACCTTTTAAAGAAATCTTCGGCGAATAGTTTAACACCTTAAATATTCTTAAAATGCTTTTTAGTTTCTTACTTTTACAATATTGATTTCTTGAGAAATTCCTGCTATACTTAACACACACAGATCGTAACATACCAGGCAAATTCTACTTAGGCCAATATTAAATTTGCGAGTCTATAAGAAGAGGTGACAGTGAATATCATTATGTTGTTACTTCTTTGTGGATCATTTTCCCCTCTGGAGAGAGATGGTAAGCGGTAGGTCGCAATTGAATCGTTTATTACCGAAGCCAGTCAATAGCCAAATTAGCCAATTTGAGGAAACAGAAATAAAAACAAAACTGTCTAGCATCAGAAACAAGGTTTCAGAAGGTATTTTATTTTTTTGCTCATAGTACATAGTATATAATTCAGAACTGTCTGTTGAACTAATTTTATTTATTTACCCATCTTGAAACATATTCCATCATTAACTCATTTTGTAACGCTTGACTTTCTTCTGACACAGACGATGCAATTGAAGGATGGCGAAGCTCT